TAGTCTAAATAGTGCGGTTACCCTGACTTTTATCCTTGATAATAACTCAAAACAAAATAGATAAACTGTCGTTCGGAAAACAGTAGTGCCCGCCATAACACAGCTCCCTGTTTTCCTTCGCAATTAACTGTGGGCAGTTTCTTACGCATGCTCACAATCGTCCGCGCCCAATTAGAAGCCTGCGTAGAAAGCGTTTCCGATCGAGTCATAACGCGCGAAAGTTTGCTGTCGTTGATTGTTCTTACTTTCTCGACGAACTCGCGCCGAAACGCTTGTTACGCAAGCTACCCAAGTAGAAGCATTCCCACGACGAGAACGTCTACTTATTTGGCTCCATCAATCAGGGCCAACATTCCAGTTACTACCTAGGGCTGATTTAGACCTACGAGCTGATGTGGTCCTAGTGTGGAATGGAATAGGCTTTAAACGGGGCTATTTTGGCTTAGATTGTGTTATGGCTCCGTCAGAGGCCTTGAATCAGATTATGACTTGCAGGGCTAAATAGACCATTTCCGAGTTGCTCCAAGCCTCTGTTTCAAAGCGACGCTACAAGTGCGAAACTATTGATATGAAACTTATTTCATGACAATGAAGGGAAGAGGTTTAAAAAGTCCTTTTCCTCCAATGGCTCGAGATATCATAACAGTGTTCCCGGAGAAAGGGAAATTAGTTCCGTGAATCGGGAGGAAATTGGGACTGACAATTGTTTGATACTCGGGGAAACGAAGTTAGTTCATAGTTGGTTTGAGTTATCTCAAAGTTCGAGAAAACTGGGGATTCACATCTTTTTCCGTGTAAGTCATCAAACGAATGTGAAAATATTCTATTTCTGAAGCATCTTTCAGTTTTACCTGATCTTGCCCTCATACAAGTTAAGTATAGTCATTCAGCATATTCCTAATTAAGTACATTCCTAACCATCTCCGTACTCTAACCACTTTAAAGGGCCTATATAACGAAGATACTGCTGTTTTAGGTGAATTCCGTGCTACAGTCATTTCTCGGGCTTAGGCTAAACGTCGAACGTTTCATGAGACAAACCAAACCTAGTGAGTTAAGTTCATGAAGAGTTCGACGTCTGCTCAGTTAAGTTCGTCTGAACTATGATCATGAGGTTGAATAGTCCAACACGTTTGGCTGCTCAGACAAAAGAACGTTTGAAGATCGTCTCCAGAACAAACGTCGGTCTTCACATGCGACGAACTGAACTAATAAATAAAAAAAGATTGTATAATAATGTTTTTTTAAAGAATGGTTTTTAATACAAAGAGAACTCACAACTCTTTTTAGAGAAATTTCCCCGAAAGAGCTAAACAAATGCCTTCAAAAGTTTTCTTTGTCGGTAAGAAAACGCGACGGCCGTTCGGTCTTTGCGCGCCAAAATTCTCCTAGAAAACAAGACGAATGATGCATTAACTGGAAAGGTGCTCGATCGCTTTAAGACCTCGAGGGACTGCTGTTTCGGCTTTACTCGTGCATGATCCACTGAACAGAAAAAAAAAACAGATTTCTATTAAAGTGTAAAACGTCCCTGGTCAAAACTATCTTCCAACCACTTCACAAAGCCTCAACAGATTTTCAGCTCTATTGAGACACATTAGTTTGAAAGAGTCATAAAACAACTAAACAGGGGCTTTTTAAGGGCTTCTAGAAGCCTCTGTCACTGTATCGTTGGCGGTGGAAGACTAGTCCTCATGTGACTAGCCTGCGATTACAGCCGTTTCTCCTTGCTCCTCGTCGGAGAAACGGCTGTATTCGCAGGCTATCATGTGACCAACAATTTCATATGATCCATTTTACAGTGGCAGTTTATGTTTAACTAAATGTAGGGACAGGCGGACAAAATAAGAGGTAAACTGAAAGTACACAACAACAACAACAACCAACAACAACGACGAGCTTTATGATTTCCATGACCATACAAGTTCATACCGCATTTCAAAAGCGATTTTAAGAATCAAAATTACATCATAGGGCAATTACACGATCCGCAAACAAATGATCCCCCTCCAACCGAGTCATTTTTTGTTTGTCTTGATCTGAAATCATTCTATTTTTAACTAGTTGAGCCTCTCCCTCGGCCGTAATAAGTTGAGGTTTTTGGCCGGGGTAATGCCAATGGCGTTTTCGAGTACATTATTGCTCAATTAACCCAAGAGTCGAGTTCTTAGACACATCATAGAGGCCAAAGATGGGGAAGTACGTGCGTGAGTATGTAGAGTACTGGAAGCTACTCGACAAGCGAGTGAGTCAGCTATTGACTACGTAAACAAGAGCACCGGCTTGTAAGCTCATTCATGTCATTAAACAAATACTTCCTTATTTGAACAAACAGATGGCAAATATGATAAGGCAGAATTTAAATTCTCCGCAATACAGGAAAATTCGAGTAAAAAACTCTGTCTTTTTCGTGAATGATGACCGCTTGGTACAAAGCGGTTCGACTGCGGGGATTATAATATTATTGTTCTCCAGTAGTAAGTAAAATTGAGGGTAAACTCACAGACATCAGAGGGAATTAAATCATTCAACTGCGTAACAGTTTTGAGTATCTCCCAATACTGCCAGGCTACTTCAAGTTTTTGTAACATGAATTGATCTCTTTGAAAAATGCTCAGTTTTCTGACGGCTACCCAATTAAAGTTGCCCCAAACTGGCTTTTCTTAGCAATTTATCTCTTTTTGCTCCTCCCAGCCAAAAGCCTATAGACTGGACTCATTTGTTTTCAAAAACAGTTTAGAATCCGCATTTAAATAATCACTTGATAATATTGTTGCTAAATACGCTTAATCATCTCCCCTGGATGGAAAGCTAAGATTAAACTTGAGCAAGGTCAAGCTGGACTGCTGATCCACTTACGCACGTTCGTCCATATTATCCAAATAAGAATTTACTGCTTATCACCAGGATCTTCACCTGAGACGAATAGTAGGATTAGCAAGCTTATTTTTTTACATAACAGCATTTTTATGGCTGAAGCCTCAAGGGGCTGAAAAAGATGCTGAAAAAAATTGTACGTAAATTCAATCTGATGACAACGATCGAAAGCGTATTCACATAACGTCATGGCGGTCATGGCATACCTAGATATATTAAAATGTTTCCTTCAGGAAACAAGCACCATTCTTCGGTAGATATGTTAATTCATCACATATTTTCATGATAATTTCCGCTCTTGCCGGAGTGGTTACGTACACCATCGTGACAGCCGTACGTCATTTTTGTGCTTGCTGGGCTACATAATGTTCTTATCCCTGATCGAAAGTCATGTTCCTGTGTCAAGAGAACTTTTTCTTTTCGAGGCTACCTGCTGGCCACAAGGTAGAATACATTTATTTATATTTTAAAAATGGCCCTAATCCTACCGAGCCCATCCCCAAAAATCATTCGTACAAAATAACTTATGCAGAGTGATCATAATACGAACTAGAAGTAAATAGCAAATTAAGTTGTACTTTAATACTTACTTAATGGTCCTTACTGCCCGCAATGCCTGCTGGCATTACGTCCTCCACTTCTTAAGGAGCTCGTTCTCGCATGTAGGGAGGAAGATCCTAGAAGGCGGATCAACTTTACGTTAGGTTTTTATGCAGAAATTTGGTCCGTGTGGTGCCCAAATATAGAATGTTTGAGAAGGAATTAAAAATGGCGGGCGACAAAAACAAACATACAATTCGGGCCCTTCTGCTCTCTGAGCTTCCTTTCAGCAGAATTATCACAATAATCAGCTCGTGGTAACGCCAAACGAACTGGTCGGCCTTTATTGCCGTGATTAGCCACTGAACGACCCGCCGCTATTTTTGTCTGTTTTTTTTTTTTCCCAGTACTAGGATCTTCCTTGCGAAGGCAGTTTACATGGTGCTAGGATCTTCCTAGCTGACAGGTAGGAAGATCCTAGTACTAGGAAGATCCCAGCTCTAGGAACAAGTACAACTCTTTGCATGTAAACCGAATGCGGAAAACATATGGCGCTAGGATTATCCGCCTTCTAGGATCTTCCTGGTACTAGGATCTTCCTCCCTTCATGTAAACAGCCCCTAAAAAAGTTCTTCAGGTTCTTGATTCACCCAGTTACAACTATGTTTGTAAACAGTAATGTCTCCTATCGACTCCAATAAAATGACAGGTATTATTACTCTTTGAGAAAGCATCTATCGTCTTGACTAGTCTGCGCGCAGGCTAGGTTTTCGAAAATTTCTTTCTTGTCTGATTTCAGCTGTTGGGCCATTCCAATTTTTTCTCGACAATAAGTGATCTCCCACGCAGCCGTTTTTTTAGGGTCTTTACCCAACGTTCCTCATGTGACGACTCTAGGATAATAAATGGTACTTAGTCAAGCACCACAGAGCAAAATACAAATGCAACGGATGAAAAGAGTTTTAAGATGACTATGATCGCTTTATATAAGTTCGTGAAACTCCGAGTTAAAACTTTTCATCTTCTCCTTTGAGAAACATACATTTATCCGTAGGAAAAACATAGGAACTGAAACTAAATGTGCACCGTCAAACTCAAAGAAGACTAATTGAGGCCACGGTTTTTTTTAAAAGGGCATGGCTCGGGAAAATCACCCCCGTTTCCTTTCTTTTATATGGTTTCCTTATAGCATGTAATATCTGTCTTTGGTGAAATTATAAAAATATCTGCGAAACTTATTTTCTTTGTGACCGATATTTATTTTCTGACTTGCCACAAATCTCAATCAACGAGTTTCAAAGAAGGAAAGCTCGCTAGAGGGAAGCACAAGTGCATTCGTCTCCAATCTCTCTCTAAATTTAGAACCTCTTGTGCGTCTACCGTGGTCAGCGGCTGTAACTTCCGTTCTCATGACAACAGAGCACACTTCGTGGCAAACAGGAATGTTAGTAGTTGTATTTGACTTCTTGGCTAAAAAAAACTTAGAAAAATGATGACTACAAGCGACGGTATGTACACCAGTAATTGCAAAGTGAAATCAGCCCTAACATCAGTGAATATGTGGATGCATTTTGTCTTTCGTAGGTCGAAGAGCGGTTGCTTTTGGAACGACTCTTAATCGTGAACTCCTACCGATGAAAGTGCCGCCAAATCGCTTTGGAAATGAGCTTGGCTTACGAGGAGCTCCAAACCGTGGTCCAGGATGTTATGATAACGCTGAGGTAGTAAAAAAGATGCCTGTTTCATGGCTATTTGTATTTTTTCCTTCAACAGCCTGTAAATTTCTCTGTGAACAAGCTTTACGTAAGCTTTCCTTCATCCGCGTGACTTTCACCGATTGTGTCCTTGTGATACGAGATTTCGAATTCTTTTTTCTTTCCCTAATTATGTTCTATCGAATCAGGTGAAGGTGTTTTCCTCAAGCATCCTTGAAAGATTGTGGGACTAACACTAACCTCGATGCCTTTATAATGTGCGCATCTTGCATGAAAACGTAGATTGCGCCTTTTCAATCTCATCACCCGGGGAGTTGGGGGGGGTACTCAACCAACATGCTGAGGGTTTGAAACCCTGACCCTGCCTAGGCCAAAAAATTCCTAAACACATCCCTTGTTTAGGACAACACCCTCAATTTTATTGCCCTTTTTAGGACAAAGTAGTAAATGCATGCAGTCTTTTTTAAAGCAATTTTTATTGGCAATTGCAATAGAGCAAATTCCCGTTTTAAACTTCTGTATACTTGAATTACAAACACAATTTATCTTGCAAATCAAATCAATTGTGAAGGCAATACCCTGTTGACAAACTCACACATAATATATACCCTGTAAGGACAGATCGGACTCACATAAAATTCTGTCTAGTGGCACATCCCCATGTAGGCCATATAAGGGATTACTCCCCCCAGGTCTCAACACAATCACCCACGAGCCATCGCAAAACAGAAATCAGCAATTTTATAACAAGGTAGTTGTAAAATAACAAGACTTCTAGACAGAAAATAATAAAGTATTTTTGCACCATAAATACTTTGGCTGAAAAAGTTGATCATTCTACCAGTTCTAGGGCATGGTATACGTAAACAAAATTCCTCTGTATTTTCATTGTTTCCTCCCAAGAGAGGGGTGGGGGGAGGGGGGGTGAAGTTGTGCTTAAGGTATACATACAAACATACATACATTTTTTTTGGAGTCTTATACAATTAATAGTATAAATTATCAGCTATTTCCTAATAACTAAAATTACAAACAAAAATTTCTCATCATATGTGGCTAATAAGTTATAAATTAATTAACTCCTGTTTGGGTAGAAGTGTGCTGCCGAAGCCTAACAAATCCTGTCCCTGTTTAAGGCAACATACTTTACCTTGTGACCCTGATTCATTTTGTTTTGCATTCATTTTTTAAACTAACCATGCACATGGAGTTAATTTTTTGAGAGGATTGTTGGTACCATTAAGTCACCAGTCCAAAAAAGATACCCTGTTCAAGATGATAAATAATGAAATAATTTGTATACCCTGTTTAAGGCTCGAGACCCTGAAAAGCATCGGGGGGGGGGGGTATAGTTCCTTATAATAGGCTAACGGGGATGTGCCGCTGGATGGGGTCACATTTTCACGACTGGATTGACTATAATGGGGTCTTTTTTGATAGAGTTACTAGAATGGGGTCGCACATTTTCAGATTTTTGGGATAAGACAGTTCTTCACATTTACGGTTAGCAAACGTACCCGAATTTCTTTACTGTAGGCGAAAAGTAAAGTGTTTTACGTTTGATTTAAAAAATGTCATTTCATTTTGGGATTTATAAGGTAGATACATAAATAGAAGGTCACTAAGTTGGGATCGTGAAAATTACATTTGCCCAAAAGTGACTAAGATGGGGTTTATAACTGGCCACAAAATATAGACTATGATTTTCCTCCGGGAAAAGCATATCCTGTTCAAAGGCACATACCGGTACATGTACAGAGTACATGTACTGATTCACTGATCTTGTTACCTCTACGTCCTGCGTCCCTGAAGCATAAAAATCCTCAAAAACACAAAATAATATTCATGGTATGCATCCCGTAGGATGCAAAGAAATTACGATTGATTGATTTGAAGATTTTTTGGTAGAATATCCTGTTTGTGGGATTTTTGTGGCTGTTGTGTCATTTAAAGATGCATATTTATTTAAGTCTTCTTTGTGCTTTAAATATATAGAAGGACTATATTTGAATTTCAGTAAACTGTAATAATGGGCTGCACTGTAATGGACTCACCATAACTTAATTTTGTTACAAAAATCACTGCTGGCTTAATTAGGTCAAATAACAGAAATGCCCCAGCTCCACTCCCTCAGCTTGATTTTTTCATTGCCAATGTCTAGTAGATATATTTTATAGTGCTGATAGGTGGATTTTGTTAGCAAGGAGCACTTAGTGTTTTTTAAACAAATTCAAGAAAACTTTCTTTTGAGGAGTTGGGAAGTCTTCTTCTTCTTCAGATTTTGTGCTCTCAGACAAACAAATTAAAAGCTTCACTTGTATTGATTTCTTGTTGTTTTACTTATATGACAGGTGAGTGGCTTCATTTATGAACTTGATGGAAGACCTGTTTGTAAAAGAGGCTACTCAGTGGGTGCTAGAACAGCTGCGAGATTTCCTAAGCCAGCTCATGTGAGTGTTTTCTTGTTATCTACATGTACAGCATATTCCCGCCAATCCAGCTTATAGTGTTTATATATCTCAATTGAGATATGCTAGAATTTGCACATCCAAAGTTGACTTCATAAATAGACTCTGTGGACTTTCATTACGTCCCAGACAGCAAGGCTTTGAAACCAATCTACTTCAGAAATCATTTAATAAATTCTTCAGTCGCCATGGTCTTATCGTCGAGAAGTATGGTGCAGCCGTGCTGGAGATGAGATGAGCAATCCAGGCTTGAATTGCACCATCGTATCCTTACATTACATATTTATTGCTTAGTGTTGTATTTCAGTTGTATCTCGTACGTGTACGTGTACAACTTTATTTTGAGCGCGTGCATTATTTGTTTATTTATTTAATTTACGTGTACATTTAGTTCGTTAATTAACGTCTTAATTTTACTTCGCATTATTTTCCTCACTTACATGTGTTGTCCATGACTGTGCTCATATGGGGGTTGGCTCCTCCTAAAATGTTCTGCAATTGGTATGGGATTTAATGGAGCCAAAACCAATTGTGGAATTGCACGCATTTTAGGCATCCTACTGATGAAAGGTTGTGACACGTAGATATATATTTTTTAGCAACTAATATAATTTGCAGTCTGTCTACTTTGAATACAATGAAGGTGAAGAAGAACTGCATTTTAATTTGAAGTAGCTCATCAGGCTGGGTCATATTCCAGTTTCCTTGGCATGAAGTGACCAGAAATTATTAATTCTAAATTTGGCATGTCAGTCTATCGCAGGGTTACCCCCAGTTGTATTTGAATTTACCAGAGGTACGGTCCATGTATTTATACACCTGGGTGAATTAATTTAAACCCTTTAGAAAGTAGCTGAATTTTCTGTGGAAAGTAAGCTTAATTTTTTTGTTGGCAGACGTGGTTTCTGAAAGCTATGCATCATCGTCCTCACCACTGATCACTGCTATCTGGTAATATGATGATGATTGCCAATTGGCTATAGGTCACCTTCTTTCTCATGTTGGCTTAGTGAATACCGGATCTAGACAATTGCAGGGCTTAGAAAGTTTTGACTTTATTCTCATTTGAAATCCCTGATTAATACTCTTTGGGTGTTCAATTCAACATTAGTTCTGGCCAGCTGATTCTGTTCTTTTCTGTTACTAGTTGGATGTTCCAGGCCCACCTACTTATCAAGAGGTCATAAGCAAGCCGATCCACTTTGATGAAGCATTTAAACCATTTAATGTTGGTGCAACAAGGTTTCCAGCAATTAACAAGGTACATAATGCATGTTGCATATATTAATTTTCTAATTACTGAAAAGTGTATCTTCTATTACAACCAATGCTTTGCCTGTCATTTTTCAAATCAATACATGGGTGACTAACAAAGGAATGATTTTTGTTTCAGGATCATGGCGGACATCCTGGGTAAGACAACTTTTCAATAAAATATTTGTCGTCTTCAGCTGACGTATTAACAGTAAAGTTATATGGGTTTATAACTTGTCTCACACTCCATTTGAAGCTTTGAATCCAACTAAAGAAAATAAACAACCTGCCTTCACTTCCCAGCTGTTATTGTATTAACTTGAGAAACAATAAATAATATTATTAATTTGTTGCTTTGTACTTCAGGAGGCTAGGTTTACTCTTTTGTATAAAATGTAAAATTTACATAAAGAAAAGGACATTTTATTTGGTTTTCCTTTTAATACTTTCATCATCGTTATTATCAGTGATGACTTTTTGAACTTAATTGTATCATTTGCGATACCTATTTTCATATTGTTTCTTTTTGTCAGTAATCTAAAAATCCTTACATGCCCATCGGTCAAGAGCTAATGGTCTATTAAAGGATATAGATGATAATACAGGTCAAATTTTATTCTGGGGTAAAATTTTCAACCTTGGTTGATTCTAAATTTTCTTTCTAATCTTAAGATGAACAAAGAATCAACCTACAGGTTGAATCATTATTAATCTGAACTCAAATTTATTCTCTTGCATAGATGTGAAACTGTGGTGCAAAAATGGTGCAAAAGTTAGGAGCTGATATTAAGGCTTCTTTGAATTAATTCTCATGTTTTTCAAAAAAGCAACAACAACCAAACAAACAAAACGTACAGATTCACCATAGTTATCTGTTATCTGAACAGTGTAGCTGACTCTTATCTAGGTCATAGAAAATGGCACCACCCAATGTTCAACATTTTATGATGAAACCACTTGCCTATGGCATAGCTTATGGTTAGTGTCTTCTGTACCAAATCATGAGAAAATAAAGCAGCTGCAAAGTCATAACTTTTGAGAATGGACATTTGGATCATTTAGTCAATGATTGCTATGTTTAATTTGGCTTTAGACCTGGTGCTTATGAGTTTGATGCTAAAAGAGACAGGAAAGTGAAGTTCCATGGTTCATTTGGTGGACCACAGACACTGATAACATCAGTTGTGATCAAGTGTAATGAATTTGGAGAACCAGATACTGTGAGTATATAATTGACAGATATAAAAATAATATTGCATAAATTAAAGGTGACTGTGACTGTCCCTGGTTGTTCAAAAGTTGGATAGCAATATATATCCACCAGAAAAATTCCCAGTATCCAGCAGATAAGTACTGCTATTAGCCCGTTAAGCCCCAATATCCAAATACAAATTCTCCAAACTGATCTCCATACATTTCCTTAAAGAAATAGTTGAGAAAATTTGTTTGCTGATCAAAGCTTTTGCCATCAGGTGATCATTTCGTTAATTCTCACAACATTTTCTCTTGATTTGTTAAGAGAACATTGACTTTGGTCACTCTTGGGACTAACGGGTTAACGAAAACAATGGCATTATCCAGTGGATAGAGATTTATTTAGTGGGTAGCATTTATATCCTCCTGTCAAGCGACTGGGCCATGGTTCATTTTTACAGCCAGCTTCAGGCCATTTGCCTGATGATGATGTGTCATTTTACTACCTGAGAATCATTCAGGGTTTTGCCTTTTTCTGCTGATAAGAGTTTCCTGTGTTTAAATCCTGCTGGGATTACCAGATTTAAATGTGAAAGAGGAAACAACATGGATTGTGGTAGTTGCACGGCAGAAATCCTGCAATACTGCACTGTAAGGTTAATCCTATGTATGTAGGAAGGATGTCTTTCATGTGCAGATCTTTTGGAAATCGTACAGGAATTATTTTTGGACAAATTGAACAAGTATTGAGCATGCACAGTGGTGTGTATTGCAATTACCTCTTGCTTAATTTTCACTGTTGCAATCTGTTGTGGGAAGGAATAATGATAGAGTATGATGGAAATGTATAACTCAGAGGGTGAACATTTTGAAAGTGGAACAAAGGCTTTTTGTTATAATGTGTTCATGCATTTTCTTTAAATATGGTATTATTTTATTTTAAATAATTCTGTTTTTCTCTACCTTTAGTGTAAATCTTGCAGAAATCCTCCAGTTGGAGATTATTATGAATACAAAAAAGTTCACCTTTGTCGGAAATGCTATGATCATCATCTAAAAACAGGGGAAAAATATACTAAAAGGTAAGATAATGTAGATGCATGCATCTTTCATTTAAAGTCGTAAAAATTAAGGTTATAAACTTTCAGTGATAAGTTAACCCTTTTACTGACTGGGTGAATGATGATGACGTG